AGTCGTAGTCGTAGTACTGGTAGTAGTGGGGTTAGTAGTAGTAGTAGTAGTAGTAGTAGTAGTAGTAGCAGTAGCAGTAGCAGTAGCAGTAGTAGTAGCAGTGGTAGTTGTAAACATAGTAGTCGTAATCGTCGTAGTAGCCGTAGTAGTAGTAGTCGCCGTCGTCGTCGTAATAGTATTAGTCGTAGTAATAGTAGTAGTAGTCGTAGTAGTAGTAGTGGTAGTAGTAGTAGTAGTCGTCGTCGTCGTCGTCGTAGTAGTAGTAGTAGTAGTAGTAGAAGTAGTAGTATTAATGATAGTAGTAGTCGTCGTAGTAGTCGTAGCCGTTGGGTAGCAGCTGTCGTGAAAGCAGTAGTCGTAGTGGCAGTAGCAGTAGTGGTGTCAGCAGCAGCAGCATGAGTCGCAGTCGCGGTGGTAGTAGTAGTTGCGAAAGTAATGGTAGTCGGAATAGTAGTAGTAGTAGTAGTAGTAGTAGTAGTAGTAGTAGTAGTAGTAGTAGTAGTAGTAGTAGTGGTAGTGGTAGTGGTAGTAGTAGTAGTAGTAGTAGTAGTAGTAGTAGTAGTAGTAGTAGTCGTAGTCGTCGTTGTAGTAGCAATAGTCCTAGTAGTAGTCGTAGTGGTCGTAGTGGTCGTAGTCGTTGTCGTAGCCGTAGTAGTAGTAGTAGTAGTAGTAGTAGTAGTAGTAGTAGTAGTCGTAGTCGTAGTCGTAGTCGTAGTCGTAGTCGTAGTCGTATTATTGATTTGAGTCGTAGCCGTAGCCGTTGTAGTAGTAGTTGTAGCCGTCACAGTTGTCGTAGTACTAGTGCTCGTAGTTGTGGTCGTAATAGTAGTAATAGTAGCAGCAGTAGCAGCAGTAGCAGTAGTAGTAGTAGTAGTAGTAGTAGTAGAAGTAGTAGTAGTAGTAGTAGTAGTAGTAGTAGTAGTAGAGGTAGAAGTTGTATTAGTAGGCGTAGCAGTAATCCTAGTGGTAGTAGTAGCAGTCGTAGCAGCAGCAGCAGCAGTCGTAGTCGCAGTGGTAGTAATATGAGTAGTAGTCGTGTTGATAGGGGTAGTAGTAGTCGTCGTAGTAGTTGTTGTAGCAGTCGGAGAAGGCGTAGCAGGAGTAATAACAGTAGTCGCAGTAGTAGTACTAGTAGTAGCAGTCGTAGTAGTCGGAGTACTAGTGCCCGTAGTCGTGTTATACGTAGTAGCAGTAGCAGTAGTAGCAGTAGAACTTGTAGTTGTAGTTAAAGCAGAAGCCGTAGTGGTTGTAGCAGCAGCAGGAGTCGAAGTCGCAGTTGTACTAGTAGTAGCAGTAGTAGTAGTAGTAGTAGTAGTAGTAGTAGTAGTAGTAGTAGCAGTAGCAGCAGTAGTAGTGGGAGTCGTTGGAGTCGTCGCCGTATTAGTAGTAGGCGTAAAAGTAGCAGTAGCAGTAGTAGTAGTAGTAGTAGTAGTAGTAGTAGTAAAATTAGTGGTCGTCGTCGTAGTCGTAGTCGCAATCGTGGCCGTAGTAGTAGTAGTAGTAGTAGTAGTAGTAGTAGTGGTAGTAGTAGTAGTAGTAGTAGTAGTAGTAGTAGTAGTAGTAGTAGTAGTAGTAGTAGTAGGAGTAGGAGTAGGAGTAGGGGTAGTAGGAGTAGGAGTAGGAGTAGGAGCAGGAGTAGTCGTACTAGTTTTAGTCGTAGTAGTAGTGGCAGTATTAGTAATAGTAGTAGTAATAGTAGTAGTAATAGTAGTAGTAGTAGTAGTAGTAGTAGTAGTAGGAGTAGTAGTAGTAGTAGTAGTAGTAGTAGTAGCGGCAGAAGTAGTAGTAGTACTAGTAGTAGCAGTAGTAGTAGTAGTAGTAGTAGTATTAGTAGTAGTAGTTGTGGTAGTATTTGCTATTGTGGTGACAGTAGCCGTTGTAGCCGTAGCCGTAGCAGTAGGAGTCGTAGAAGGAGTAGTCGTGGTAGTTGTTTTAGTCGCTGTAGTAGTAGTAGTAGTAGTAGTCGTCGTAGTCGTAGTCGTAGTCGTAGTCGTAGTAGTAGTAGTAGAAGTTATATTTGTAGTAGGAGTAGCCGTCGTTGTAGTACTAATCGTAGCCATAGTTGTAGTAAAAGCACACGGCGTAGGAGGGGAAGTCGTAGTAGCATTTGTAAAAGTAGTAGGAGTACTAGTCGCAGTAGTCGTCGTAGTAGTTGTCGCAGGGATCGTTGTCAGAAACATGGTACACGTATTTGCCGCAGTTTGTGCCGTAGTAGTAGTGGTAGTAGTAGTCGTAGTCTTAGTCGCAGCAGAAGTAGTAGCAGTAGTAGTAGTAGTAGTAGTAGTAGTAGTAGTAGTAGTAGTAATAGTAGTGGTAGCAGAAGTAGAAGTAGTAGTAGTACTAGAAGTGGTAGTAGGAGTAGTAGCCGTAGAAGTAGCAGTAGCAGCAGTCGTAGTAATAGTAGTAGTAGTAGTAGTAGTAGTAGTAGTAGTAGTCGTAGTAATAGTAGTCGTAGTCGTAGTAGTAGTAGTAGTAGTAGTAGTAGTACTTGTAGCCGTAGTCGTAGTAGTAGTAGCAGTAGTAGTAGTAGCAGTAGTAGTAGTAATAGTAGTAGTAGGAGTAGTAGTAGTAGTAGTAGTAGTATTAGTAGTAATAGTAGTAACAGTAGTAGTAGTAGTAGTAGTAGTAGTAGTAGTTAGTAGTAGTAGTAGTAGTAGTAGTAGTATGGTTATTATTAGTAGTAGTAGTCGTAGTAGTAGTAGTAGAAGCCGTAGCCGTAGTAGTCGTAGTAGTAGTTATAGTAGTAAATGTAGTAGTAGTTGTAGTAGTAGTAGTAGAAGTAGTACTCTCGTAGTAGTAGTAGTCGTAGTAGTAGTAGTAGTAGTAGTAGTAGTAGTAGTAGTAGTGGGTAGTCGTCGTAGTAGTACTAGTAGTCGTAGTCGTATTCGTCATATCAGTAGTAGTAGTAGTAGTAGTAGTAGTAGTCGTCGTATTACTAAAAGTAGTAGTGGTGGTAGTAGTAGCAGTAGTAGTAGTAGTAGTAGTAGTAGTAGTAGTGGTTGGCAGTAGTAGTAGTAGTTGTAGTAGTAGTAGTAGTAGTAGTCGTAGTAGTAGTAGTAGTAGTAGTAGCAGTAGTAGTAGTAGTAGTTGTAGTCGCAGTGGTATTACTAGTAGTAGTAGCAGTAGTAGTAGTAGTAGTAGTAGTCGTAGTATTAGTAGTAGCAGGTGTAGTTTCAGTAGTAGTAGTCGTAGTAGTATTAGTAGTAGTAGTAGTAGTAGTAGTAGTAGTAGTAGTAGTAGTAGTAGTAGTAGTAGTCGTAGTAGTGCTAGTAGTAGGAGTAGTAGTAGTAGCCAGAATAGTTGTTGCAGATGTAGTGTTCGTAGTGTCAGTAGTAGTAGAAGAAGTAGAAGAAGAAGTAGCAGTAGTAGTAGTAGTAGTACTACTAGTAGTAGTAGTAGTAGTAGTAGTGGTGGTCGTAGTAGTAGTAGGAGTAGCAGAAGTCACTGTAGCGGTAATAGTCGTAGTGGTGGTAGTAGTATTAGTAGTCGTAGTAATTACCGTCGCCGCCGTAGTCGTATTCGTAGTAGTATCCTTATGACGACGACGACGATCACGATGACGACGGCGATAAGCAACACCGACACCACAACAACACCGACATCGACACCACCAACAGCAACACACAACAGCACAACCACCACGAACAACAACACTAACACAAACAACAACAACACCAATCACACCACCAACAGCAGCAAGAACAACAACAGCGCAACAGCAATCTGCACCGCGGAATTCCGCTTCAGTTACGCACCACGGAGCAGTTCATGCCCATTCGACCCCTTCATTATGAAAGTGGTGACGACGATGAGAATGATGCAGCTGCTGCTGATGATGGTGATGGTGGTGATGATGATGGCGTAGGCGATGCTGGTGGTAATTCTCGATGCTTATGATGATGCTGCTGCTGATGATGGTGATGATGATGATGCTGACGAGGATGATGATGACGGGGCTGATGATAATGGCGATGATGAGGAGGAGGATTCCAACCACGACGGCGACGCTGAAAATGATGAAGATACTTATGGTCATGATGATGGTGATTGCTGTATTGATTATGATGGTGATGATGATGAAGGTGATGATGATGATGGTGATGTTGATGGTGGTGGCGGTGATGATGCTGCTGATGATAATTGTGATGCTGATGGCGACGATGATAATGCTGATGATGATGATGACGAGTATGATGATGATTCCGACCACGACGGCGACGCTGATGATGATGATGATGATGGTGATGCCGATGATGCTGATGATGATGATGAGGCTCGAGAGACTGACGACGGTAGTGGCTTGGCAGTGGTGATGATGTTGTTGGTGACGATGTATTCCGATGCTGATGCCGATGGCGATTCTGATGACGATGCCAATGCCGGTGACGATGATGATGCTGATGATGATGATGATGCTAATGCTGATGATCATGATGACGATTTGCAGCAGTAGGATCGCAGGATGATGATCAAGCGGGGCAGAAGTGACACGTGGAGCTCATTATGGCAATGTCACGCTTAAATATGTAATGATGATGATGTTGCTCATGATAATGATGATGATGCTGATGCAGATGCAGATGCTGATGCTGATGAGGATACCCGTGGTAATGATAATAATGATGGTGGTGATGGTGGTAATGGTGATAATGATGACGATGACGATGACGATGATGATGATGATGATGACGATTATGATGCTGATGATGATGATGCTGATGATGATGCTGATGCTTATGATGATGATGACGATGATGATGATGCTGATGATGATGATGATGATGATGATCATGCTGATATTGATTATGAGGATGATGATGATGATGCTGATGATGATGCTGATGCTGATGCTGATGCTGCTGCTGCTGATGATGAAGGTTATGATGATGACGACGATGTCGATCACGATGATGGTTGTGGTGATGGCAGCAGCTGGTTGTGGTGATGATGACGGCTGTGGTGATGGCAGCAGCCGCGGTTGCGGTGATGTCCCCGCCGAGGTCGCCCCGGCCGCGCCGCACTCGGCGCCCCTGCCCGCGGCCCTGCTCTTCCCCGGCCACGGCTCCCACTACGTGGGCATGCTGCGGGACCGCGCAGTCGTCGCTCTCGGGAGGGAGAGGGGAAGGAGGAGGAGGAGGAGGAGGAGGAGGAGGAGGGGAAGGACGAGGACGAGGAGGAGGGGAAGGGGGAGGGCGAGCATGAGGGGGAGGAGCAAGTGGAGGATGAGGAGGAGGAGGGCCCTGAGGATCCGGGCGTTGCAATTTCGTATCACGGGTTCGGGCCCCAGGACCATCACAGATCGATGCGGCTCGAAGTATGCAGCAGAAGGACGGGGTCGATGGCTCAGAAAGATGGGGTCGTGGGCTCTGGTCGTGACGTTCGCGATGTTGCATTTTTGTCCCAGGGTCGGATCTGAGGGGAGGAAGGGGAACGTAAGAGCGAGCGAGAAGGACCAAGGGTACGTCGTCATCCTCGTCCTCGTCGTCGTCGTCGCTGTCGTCGTCGTCATCGTGTCCTCCTTTTCCTCCTCCTCCTCCTCGCCCTCCTCCTCCTCCTCCTCCTCCTCCTCCTGCTCCTCCTCCTCCTCCTCCTCCTTCTCCTCTCCTCAAGAAGATGACATCTGACGCGTTGAAGCTTGTTTTTCCGTTGGTCCAGAACTGCTCAAGAGCAGCAGCAGCCATGACGCTCTGCCAGACTGGTGGGACTCGGGCGCTGTCTGCGCCACTGGAGCCAGAGACGTGACCTATTGCATCGACTTCCTCCTCCTGCATCCCCACCGTTCAATGTCTTGGCATCGCTCGGACGTGTGCATTTTTCCTCCGTCGAGGACCATCGAGGAGCATCCTTGATCATTTGGCGAAAAACCGCGCACGAAACCGAAAAAAACAACACAGGGAGTGGACGTCCGAGCGATGGCAGGATGTGTACTCGCACCATGGGCCCCGCACGGTGGTCGAGCTGGGTTCCAGCGTCCCCGACCAGAGTGGCGGGTGGCACAGGGCGGCGGTGGTCCGTCCCTTTCCGAGGCCGGGTTACGACGACGACGACGACGACGACGACGACGACGACGGCGGCGACGACGGCGGCGGCGGCGACGACGACGACGACGGCGACGACGACGACGGCGGCTGCGATGCCCGAGGCCTGGCCGCCCCGGCGCGCCACGCCGTCGCGGGTCCGTCGCCGAGCTGTGGTCGCGGGGGAGTCCCCTCGTCGTTGATCGCGTGTTCCGCCCGGGCGGCGGCGGCTGCCGCCACGTCCGCCGCGCTCGGCGGCCACGTGCGCCCGCGCACTCGTGGCCTCCGTCTTCGGGCTGGGTCGTGGCCCGCCGCGTGCGCTGTTTCCCGAGGCCCTGTTGACAGCGGGCAGGCTGGAGGCCTGAGCTTCGCGGCCGTTGGGTTGGTCCCAGGGCACGTCTTGTCTGTGTCTGACGGTCGGACGAAAGTGGGCATTGGCCCCGGCAAGTGTCTGATCGGATTCTCCCCCATCGCTCCTCCCTACTTGTGAATAACTCCTGTCTCTTTCAAAGGGGACGCTTCCTGTAGTGAAGGGGCAGGCTTCAGGGATTAGTGGGGAGGGAGCTTGGGAAGGGAGGGTGTGTTGCAGCGTTTTTTGTCCCGCATCTTGGGTTTACCCTTGTCTTTTCCTCCTCCTCCTCCTCCTCCTCCTCCTCCTCCTCCGCGTGTGGCTTCTGCGGGTTCTCTGCCTTTCATTCTGCCTGGAAGATAGCCGACCACCTCCGCGGATTGTCGTTCATACGCTGGACTCCAAGAGTTTGTTGCCATGGTGCTCAACAGTCTGGTTGTCTTCGGTGTTTCAACATGGTGCTCTCGCTGCAGCGTGAGCCTCATTTGCGGATCGGCGCTTGGCCCCCGCCGTCCAGAATGGCACTCTCGCCCCAGCACGGGCTGCTTGTCTGGGCCCCGAGTCCTTTCTCACGGTTGTCGCTCCGGTAATTTCGCCTCCTCCGCGATCCCCCGGTCGTCATGCTTCTCCCACTCCTTCCACGCTTGAAGTTCGCAGCAGTGATACGGACGGACGGGGCGTGGTCTCAAATTGGAGCCCTCGCTTCCGCGCCGCGCGCATTCGCCTTAACACTCCTCCCTCCTCCCTCCTCCCTCTTCCTCCTCTTCCCCTTCCTCTTCTTCCCCTTCCTCCTCTTCCCCTTCTTGCTCTTCTCCTTATTCCGACGGCGGCGAGGACGGGGACGAGGAGAACGACGTCGTCGGCGGCGGCGGCGGCGGCGACGGCGGCGGCGGCGACGGCGGCGGCAGCGACGGCGGCCGCGGCGGCGACGACGACGGCGACGACGAGGGCCAGGCGGGTGCTCCGCCCAAACCCGCGGCCGCCAGGAGGCCGCCGGCAAGCCCGCCGTCCGGGCGATGCTGGACAGGGCCGAGGAGGTCCTGGGCTGGAGCCCAGAGGACCTTCTCCTCCTCCCCCTCCTCCTCCTCGTCCTGCTCCTCCCACCAATGCTCCTCCTCCTCCTCCTCCTCCTTCCCCTCCCCCTCGTGATCCCCCTCCTCCTCCCTCCCTCCCTCCCTCTCCTCTTTCTGTCCCCCTTCTCGTCGTCCTCCTCCCTCTCTCGCCCTCCCTCTCTCTTCTCCTTTGTTTTCCTCTTCTCTTCCTCTCCTCTTCATCCTCCTTCTCCTCCTCCCTCTCTATTTGTGTCTCTCCTCTCTCCTTTGTCTACGTCGTTCCTTTCCTCACCCTTCTCTCCTTCACCTCCTCTGGTTTTTCGGCGTTGGCCTGACGTTGGGACGCCAGGGTCGTTGTGTTTGCAAGGGTGGAACAAGACCGGAGACAACAGCTGCGTGATGAAGGGCGTCGAGGTGCCTTTTCACACGTACGGTAGGATTCTGAATGGAGCCCTTTTCGGGCTTCAGTTGCGTTTAGATCACGAGCACCGCCAGGGGGAAACCCATGGAAGAACTTGTCGTAAGGGTCTTAGTGGTCTTCGGCCAGTTCCGCCACGGTGCCTAAGTAGTGGGACAGAGGTGTCTTGGATGCCTGTCGGGGTTTCTTGGGGTGCGCCTCGGACGCTTCTTGGGGTGCTTCTCTGTTGGGCACAAGCTATATGATTCGAGTCGTATCAAGTTGTACCACTTGGGTCATATCGATCCCAGCGGGCGGCGATCCCTTTTGCCTGGATCCTGTGTCAGAGGCCCTCTCAGGGGCCTCATTGGGGGCCTCATTGGATGTCTCAGTCGCCCTCTCGGGGCCTCTCGGGCGCTTTCTTGGAGCTTCTTGGGGCCTCTTGGGGTCCTCTTGGCTCTTGGTGGCCTCTTGGGGCCTCTTGGGGGGCCCTTGGGGCCTCCTGGGGATCTTTTTGGGGCCTGTTGGAGCCTCTTGGGGGCCTTGGGGGCCTCTGGGGCCTCTTCTTGGCTTTCCTGCTCTGGGGCTCGTCTTGGAGCGTTCTTGGAGCCCTCTTGGACTATCTTGGGCTTCTCTTTGGCCGTTTTGGGGCCCTCTTAGGCGGCTTTGGGGCTCTTTGGGGGGTCTCATGGGCTACCTTCTAGTGATCTTGGGGGCCTCTTGGACCGTCTTGGAGCGACGGAAGCCCAAAAAGGCGAGAATGCAAAGCTTAGACGAAAACCAAGAACAGATCATAGATGTTGGCCTCTCGGGGCCCTCACAGCGGTGCTCGTGAAGCCCTTTGGAGCGTTCTGGAGGCGTCTTTGGGCCGTCTATGGGCCATCTTCTGTGTCTTGGAGCGATCTTTCGGCGAATCTGGGCTCTCATGGACCGTCCTGGGGCTTCTGAGGGCTCTTTTTGGCCCGTGTTGGGGCATTATTGGCATGGAAAGCGGGACAAGCCACGAGAGGTACTCGACCGACACGTAGTAAGCCATCCGGCAATTTGGGGCCCGAGCCCCTTGCTACTTCTTCATCGAGGACAGAGGACGGGGATTCCAGGGACCTGGTGACTTGGGGGCACTCAACTTATCAAGCAGCGGCGAAGCGTCCTGGTGCCCATAGGCCTACAACAAATGTTCTAAGAACCTGTTGTGGTTTGCACGGGATGTTCTTAGAACATGTTTGGCCGAGACCGCCTTGCTTTGGCACATCGGGCTTATGTTCTGAGAGCGTTGCTTTGTTTTCGAACACCTCTGGGTTCTAGGAACATGTCGTGGCAGGCCCACAGAAATGCCAGGACGGTCGGTGCTTGCTCAAACTTCGTGCCTCGGGGCACGGTGGCTCCCCGAGCGCAACACCACCCGCACACGTCCGACAAAAACACATGCCCTCATCGATGCAATGTATCGTACCTCCTCCTCCTCTTCCTCCTCCTTCCGCCTCCCTCCCTCCCTCCTCCTCCTCCTCCCTCCCTCCGCCCTTCTCCCTCCCTCCTCCTCCTCCTCCTCCTCCTCCTCCTCCTCCTCCTCCTCCTCCTCCTCCTACATCGCCCACGGCGGATCCGGGCCACTCGCGATCAGCTGCTCTGCGAGTCGTGGGGCGCGCGCTTCCGTTGGCGAAGCCGCCTCCCAACGCTGTTTGACAGCGGCGCGGCGGGTGCCGGCGGGCCAAGTGGAGAGCCCGCGGGTGGCCAGCGCAGGGCAGCTGCCGCGTTCGAGGAAGCAACAGCGGCATGAACAGGAGGAGGAGGAGGAGGAGGAGGAGGAGGAGGAGGAGGAGGAGGAGGAGGAGGGAGAGGAGGAGGAGGAGGGGAGGAGGAGGAGGGAGGAGGAGGAGGAGGAGGAGGAGGAGGAGGAGGAGGAGGAGGAGAGAGGAGGAGGAGGAGAAGGAGGAGCAAGGCTGCCAGTGTCTCGCCTGGCCCTGCGCCAGGAGGATGCTGGCCAGGAGGAGGAGGAAGAGGAGGAGGCGGAGGAGGCGGAGGAGGCGGAGGATCAAGGATCAACTTTTGGCGCTCCGCGCGGATTTCTCGGATCCGCGCTTGGCCCCCGGCGGCGCCTCCGGCGCCGCCCCTGGCGCGCTCCGCGCGCCAGGGAGGGGGGTCCAGCGCAGATCCAGAAATCCGCGCGGAGCGCCAACAGTTTCTGTGTATGCTGTTTTTTCTTGTTCTATGCGTGGCAGGGATATGTCTGGTGGTGAAGTCCCGTTTTCTTCATCTTCTTCAGCCTCCTCGGGTAAAGAGGGTCGTAGTTTGAGAAATTATTGTTCCCCTGATCCCGACTGTGGCGTCTGCTGTCTCAGAACGCCTTCCTCTCTTCGCTCCCCTCCTCCTCCTCCTCCTCCTCCTCCTCCTCCTCCTCCTCCTCAGGAATCGCGCCCTCCCCGCTCCACAAGCCCCGCCTCTACGGAGGCTGCGTTGAAGCTCCGCTGCTGTCCTCAGAGCCGGTGTTTTCTCGGGCCCCCCCCCGCTTCTCCCACTCCGCAAGCCCTTCCCTCTCCGCGATCCCGATCTTCGGGGCCCTTTGGATGGAAGGCTAGCGCTCCCCACGTTCTCCCATTCCGAGTGTGGTTCTTCAGGGTTGGGGCGGGGGTGAGGAGGCGGAGGAGTGCAGAGGAGCGGGAGGGAGAGCGAGAAGGAGTGATGGCGAGAGTGGAGGGAGGAATCATCATCATGTGATGATGATGATGATGATGATGATGATGATGATGATGATGATGATGATGATGATGATGATGATGATGATGATGATGATGATGATGTTGACGATGATGGTGGTGATGGTGATGGTGATGGTGATGGTGATGGTGATGGTGATGATGGTGGTGAGGATGATGGTGATGCTCATGATGATGATGGTGATGATGATGATGATGATGATGATGATGATGCTGATGGTGATGGTGATGATGATGAGTGGTGCTGATGATGATGAGGAAGAGGAGGACGAGGAGGAGGAGGAGGAGTCAACGGAGAAGAGCAATCCTCCCCCACAAGGCTCTTGCCATCTTCCAGATTCAGAGTGCTTCTGTGGACAACTTCGAAAACATGATTTTCGGGGCCTCCAGGGGACTCTAAAGGGCCTCTCCTCTCTCGCCCTCTCTCCTGCCTTTCTCCTCTTTTTCTCCCTTCTCCTTCTTCCTCTTCCACCACTTTGTCAACACTCTCCTTCTTCTTCTTCTTCTTCCTCCTCTTTCCTCTTCTTCTGCCTTCTCCTTCATCCTCTTCTTCTTCTCCTTCTCCTGCCTCTCTCCTCCGTCCCGTCGTCCGTCCTGTACTCCTCCTCCTCGCCCTCCTCTTTCTCCACGTCCGCCTCGTAGCCGTTTCGGCTCGAGCTGATTGTGTGAGAAGCTCGAGCTTGTGCCCACGTACTTCGAAGCGGATCGTGGGCACGAGCCAAACCTACAGTGCGCGCGCCCTGTCCATGGGTGCAGATGGAGAGGTCTTGCCAGGCCCCAAGTTTCCAGTCTGGGGATGTGGCAAGTGCGGCGAGAGCGGCAACTGGGCCAGCAGGCTCAAGTGCCGCGGCTGCGGAGGGGCAGCGCCGGTGCGGGTCCAGCAGGACGCCCGCGCGGCAGCAGCCAAGGCGGGGCGCCCGCAGCAGGGGCGCAGCGGCAGCGGCCCCAGCGGCGGCGACCAGTCGCGGCTCGCCAAGGAGGTCAAGGAGCTCAAGCAGCAGCTGGCGGCACTCGCGAAAGGGGATGGAGCCAGCGGCGGCGGGGCAGGAGGAGGCCCACGACCCTCGCCCGCGGCTGGCGGCGATGGCCCCTCCTACGCTCAGGTCGTCGGCTTTCTCAAGAGCCACGGCATCGACTCCGAGCTCATCGCCGAGGTCGAGGAGGCCAAGGTCCAGGAGCTCGAGGCAAAGCCGCCGACCGCGCTGGCTGCTCGGCACCGTGTCGAGAATGCTACGCGGAAGGCCGAGAAGCTCGAGGAGCGGCTCCAGCAGTGCGAGATCCAGAAGCAGGAGCTCCTCAAGGGGATCGCCGAGGCCACGGAGTCACTTGCTGAGGCGAGGAAGGACCTCGAGCACCACACGAAGATGCTGCACAAAGTCAATTTCAAGGATGTGGACGACCCCGTGGCTGTCGGCATGGCTGGCTTGGACCCCACGGTGGTTGATGACGAGGAAGGGAAGAAGGCGCTCGAGACCCTCAAGCGGTTGCAGCGCGCAGCCAAGGAGGCGGCGGAGCGCAAGGCCGCTGAAGGTGGTAGGGATCCAGGCGGCGGTGCTGCTGCTGGCGCTGCTGGTGCTCCTGCTGGAGGCGCAGACGGAAGTGGCCAGGCACAGGCTCCGCGGCCACCCACACCAGCCGACTTCGAGGGCTCGGAGTTCCACGCTGGGCTCAAGTGGGCCATGGAAGGAGAGAGCCCCGAGGCCGCCGTCGCGGAGTACCTGGCGAAGCACACAGCCAAGCGTCAGCGCCTTTGACGAGGAGTGGCCTGTGCTGGGCAGCCTGCCCACTCGCCCTTCAGCGAGTCGCCGACGTCGTGGAGGACAGCAGCCAGGGCCCGTGAGAGGCAGCCACCCCTCGGCCGAACCCCTGCGCCAGCCCATGTCGGGACTTGCGCC